TATTGGTGTCCCCATATAATTGATTAGTTCACTGAAATAGTCAACCCCTAGAATTTGTCTTCTCTATTGTGGCCTGCTAATTCAACGTTGTTCTAAATAGTAATCTAATACTATTATAAAAGTGGATTGGCATGTTAAAACATTTCTTTCAAAAATGCCCTCCAAACCACATACATACATACATAAAACACATGCATCCATACATATAAGCACATACATATATATGCATACATTCTAATAATATCATAGCTCTCCTATTAATTGTCCACTAATATTAACTTCTAATTTTTGTAACCCCTCCACTAATCCAATATTAATGTCATCATTAGGATAAAGGTACAAATTGTCTACACCTATCAATGATGCATGATTACAAATGAAAATTTCAGTTTAGAATTTAAAGGTCATGTGATTCTTATAAATTGACCTAATTTCCTCAGTCAAACATATCCCGCATCAAATAGAAAATAGAACTTGGAGAAAAAGGTTGAGGAAGGGAAGAAAAGACAATCATCACAGGTTAGTAAAAAGGTAATCATAGTTTATACTATTATTATAATTTACTTATAGCTTTCAAAAATAGTGTTAGATGGTTACGTAAAAACATGTAGATAGTAAAAAGGTAACTACATGATTTTCTATTAAGATGCACTCGTGAAGGTTGAGGGAGAGAATGAGAGATCGATGTTCATTATCCAATTTTCAATGGTTTTTGTAAGTTAAATAATTTTTTTTTTAAAATGAGTGACCATTAGTATCCAATTACGTTAGTTTATTTGATGTTAAATAAATATCCAGTTTTCTTTTACTACTAATATTTCAAGTTGGGAGCTTCGTGATTACATTTGCCATTGTTCATATTTTATTTTCATCCATATTTTTATCTCCAGACGAGTTTCTCGATACATTAACACTTATATAAGTAGTATTACCAATTTTTTATTCTTATGTGGCTAATGGTTTTTAGATTTAAAAATAGCAAAAGGCGGAGTCCACCTCCAAGACCTCTAATTGCTCCAAGACACCACGGATTGAATGTCATGATAAATTTCTCGATGTATTTCATTGATACTTTACTCTTTCGGAGCTTAGTATCAAATGTCATGATAAATTTCTCGATGTATTTCATTGATACTTTACTCTTTCGGAGCTTAGTATCAAATTATTTATTTTTAATCCAGAGGCGTATTTCATTGATACTTTACTCTTTCGGAGCTTAGTATCAAATTATTTATTTTTAATCCAGAGGCGCATGCTATTGTTCAGGAGCAAGGAGTATTGATTGTGTTTTTAACTTCCTTTGGATAAATAGAGTGGAGTTCCATTTCTTTATTTTGAGAAATTTTATTTACTTGAGGTTCATAAATTTGTAGATGTTACTTATTTAATGTGCATGTGATTAATGGAAGTTTATGGTGTAATTAGGAGTTATATCATTTTTTTTTTGTTATTTTGAGAAATATTATTTACTTGAGGTTTATAAACTTGTAGAAATTGCTTTTCTATTATGTGTAATTTATGGAAGTTTGTGGTGTAATTTGGAGTTTATCGGGCACAAAGTAAATTGACATAATAGTTCTTAATGTCAAGTAAAATGAAAGCAGTAAATAACTATTTATTGACAACAATGTGAAAATTATGTATATAGGAATATCTGTATGGAATGCATACACTTGGTTGAATGTGTGCAATGTAGATATATGTCAAATGCCTTTTTGATGTATCCTAAACTCCCAATATAGGAATGATGGGATTAAAAACACCTGACTAACAAATTCATTTACATTATTAACTCATTTTCTTAATAAGAGATTGCAAGCGTTCCACTAACTATATATTACTTGAAAATCTATTTTGTAAAATTTTAACATAGTGTGTGATATTTAATGATTGGTATGTTATAAATTAATATACTAAACAAAGAAAACGTTGAAATATATATGATAAAACTTTATTTTTTCCTTATTTTTTGGGTCATGTAAACTATATATATAGCACATTCTCCATAATAAATATTTTTTCTCATTATTTTTAAGTGAATTTTGACAACTAAATTTAGTCAAAATTTTGTACTTGATTGAGTTTGAAATTTTCAATATTTAATCCATCGTATCCTTCATGAATAATGAGTAATTAAAAAACTAACCAGTAAAATAAATATAGATGAAAAAAATGAATGAAATGATATAATGAGATATTATTGTTGTTGTTCGGGTAAATTTTGATGGTGGATGGAGTAATCTTTGCTGATTACATACATAAGTTAAGTGAATAGCATGTAGGTTACTTATTTAAACATGTGCTAATAGACATTAATTGCGATAATAAGTTTAATGTATTAGACTTCTAGTGCCTTCCAATTCATATGCAACACACATAAAAGCTTAGATTTTGATGGTGGATGTAGTAATCTTTGATGATTATACACTTATTTAAACATGTGATTATATACTTATTTAAACATGTGCTAATAGACATTACTTGTGATAATAAGTTTAATGTACGTATTAGACTTCCAATTCACATGCAACACACATAAAAGATTATTTATTTTTATTTTGATATAAAAATTACTTTTATACTTATGTCCACGTGCAGCGTGATTATATATCTTTAAATGAGCATCATGACTATCCATTAAACTTGCTATCCCTAAAAATTTTCTTAGCAAACATCAAATGATTGGTGCTTTTTTGTATTTGAGTATTCTAAAATTACTCATGATGATCATTTCAAAGGATAGTTCACACACACACAAAAAGTATCATCACAAAAATTAAACGAAAAATTAAATACACGTGCAACGCACGTGCACCATACTAGTTACACATAAAAGTAAGTAAAATTGTCTATAAAGTAGGCACCCCGTGACATCCTGTGACAATAAAGGACACTATATATAGATGATTTGATCTATTTAGGGGGGTGTTTGTTTCAAATCCTATAATTTTAGGATGTGAATTTCACCATGAGATTTGAAATTCATAGGTGTTTTGTTATGGGTTGATATTTCTAAAATGTTGTTTGTTTCATTAATATTTTGGGATTTGAAATACTACAATTTGTAATATTTTGTTTGTTTCAAGCTCAAATTGTAGCATTATCAAATACCAAAATTTTGTAATATGATGAATATACTATCTTGGTGAGGTTACCTCCCATAAAAATATAAAATTGGGATTTATCAAATCCTCTCACTAGCAGAAAAATGAGCATTGGCGACGGGGAAATCTGTCGCCAATGCAGGGAAATCCGTCACCAATACACTTTCACGACGGGGCGGAGTCCGTCACCAATAATCCTGTCGCCAATAAACATTGGCGACGGGGAAATCCGTCGCCAATGATCATTGACGACGGATAGGTATTGGCGACGGAAAACATTAGCGACGGATTATAGCCCGTCTCCAATGTACATTGACGACGGGCTATAACCCGTCGCCAATGTACATTGGCGACGGGTTATAGCCCGTCGTCAATGTACATTGGAGACGGGCTATAATCCGTCGCTAATGTTTTCCGTCGCCCGTCGCCAATGTACATTGACAACGGGAAGTGCCCGTCGCCAATGTACATAATCAGGTAAAAAAAATTATTTCTGCATTGCAAAGCCCCCCAATCGGGAATGCATACCTGTTACTACCATTATTCACAATATATTGAACAATACTCACAATATCACATTTATCGATTCGCATCAAACAATATTCACGTTCACCGATTCACATCCAACAATATTCACATTCACATCCAACAATATTAACATTTACATTCATCGATTCACATCCAACAATATTAACATTTAACAATTCACATATATACATAATCAGGAGGTCATAATATGTTCAACACAATCCTAAAACCCACATAATCAGGAGGTCATAATATGTTCAACACAATCCAAAAGTCCACATAATCAGGAGGTCATAATATGTTCAACACAATCCAAAAGTCCACATAATTAGGAGGTCATAATATGTTCAACACAATCCAAAAGTCCACAAAAGTTACCAAAAAGTATAAGTCACCACTCACTCATCATCTTTTTGGCCTACAAAGTCAAAGAGAAATAAATTTCTTATAAACTTAAGTAAGCAAATAAGTATGAATTATCCAAAGTTTAAACGAAATTAGTACATTTTCCCCTCATTAGATCTGACATAGCTTTATCTAGTCTCTGTTTTATAGCACGCTCCTTTCTTTTAATATCATCTCTCTTCAATTTGTAGTTCATATCACATTTTTTTTGTAATTCAATAGCTTTTTCTGGTAGAGGGTTGCGAGATACTGACGGAATCCATGGGCGGAGACATGCCATCTCTGACTGAGAAGATCCGGACATTCTCTCGTGCTCGATCTCATCATCACCAGATCCATCGCAAGCATTGTCTGCAAATATTTATTAGGAATATAAAATATCATTACATTACATTAAAATATCATTACATTACAAATGTATAATACCTATATCTGGTAATGCGTCTTGATGTTGCGGTGTACCCATTTGAGATGTCCCCACAATATCTAACAAATTATAAAATAAGAAATGAGCACATAAATTTATCAATTGAGGTAATTACATGCACAGAAAGTTCAAACTGAATAAAGCAAGCAAGCAAATTTGCGTATTATGTATTGCGTATCATGGATCCTTGCGGGAACATTAAGGTATATTTGCTTTACCAGGAAGAGGATGAAAACTAAACAAAGCAAGCAAATTTTATACCTTCAATTGGTGAGGATCCATGTAGAGATAACTGACTACGAGATGGTCGTGAGGATGATCCTAGATAAATAAACAAAATAGTAAATATAATGCATATTTATATCAAAAATACTACTTAAAACAAAATTTGAATATGCATACCGGATGATGGACCTTCTCGATCCCGAGGAAAAGATAGCCTCCTAACTCTTTGGCTGATCTGCAACTTAAATTGTTAATCTAACATAATTGAAATATTTAATAAATGCATACAAGATATCAAGTCGAATTTGCATAAGGATCTTTGTATTCAATCTCCTACATTACAGATATCAAGTCGAATTTGCATAAGGATCTTTGTATTCAATCTCCTACATTACAAATATCAAGTCGAATTTGTGAAGTATACATATTAAAATTGACATTCTGAGGGTATGAGTAATTAAGAAAAATTTCTCCTTCAGCCTCATTTGGGTCATCAGTATCATCCGAGTTTTCATCAAGAGCAAGCTGAACAAGAGTCCTCGTTCTCTATCTTCCTCGGATTAGCATATGCATATTCAAGGAATGCTTCTCATCCGTCTTGATATCGAGTATCACCTTTCGCTCTTCTTTTCAATATAGGAATATCATTCCATGACTTATCAGGAACTTCTCTCATCTGTATAATAGGAAAACTTATTAATTAATTTAATATCTCTTAAATCGTCATAAGTTTAATAGTCTTTATTTTAGTTGATTGAACAAATAATCAAACAAATTAAATTACTCTTCTATAATGGCCATTGTTGTACCAAATAAAAAAAATCAGTAGTAAAAATTTAATCATAAATTGTAATTATAGAAAACTATTAATTAAATAGTAATTATGTTTGTCATTAAAGAATAATTATGGTTGTTAATATTTAACTCCAATAATCCATTCAAAAGTTAAAATCATTCAAAAAAAAGTCCAGTACACTAACCAAACTATTTCAGTCCTAATAATCCATTCAAAAGTTAAAATCATTCAAAAAAAAGTCCAGTACACTAACCAAACTATTTCAGTCCTAATCCGAATCCACTACTAACATGTGATTGTCATGTGAAAGATTTACACTAACCAAACTATTTCAGTCCTAATCCGAATCCACTACTAACATGTGATTGTCATGTGAAAGATTTAATCTTTCAAAACCTAGACTTTTTGAAGAAGACAGAGAGTAGGAATTTCTATTTAAACAAGGATATTATCAACTTTTTTTATTATCAAAAAGTAACACCGGTCGCTAAATCTTTTTGAAAAAGACGAAGTGGGAGTGTCTATTTAACCAAGAGGCATATGTAGGTAAAGGGTTTTTTTCCAACATTAGTCGTCCAAAATATTTCACTTATGAAAATATTGCAAGGATATCATTCTAGAAATACGGGCTTATTTCGCTATCTATGATGCGAAGAAAATAAATGAGTTACATTAGATTATCATGAGGATGAACAACTAATCAAAACATGAACTAATCAAGTATCTAATATTATCAAGGAAAACAAACCATTAGTACTCTTTCTGATACTTACAACTTAGAATGCTACTACAATAATAGTGATGAATATTGTCAACCTCACAATATTAACCTTAAAACAGAGCCAACAGAAGTATTGGTCCCATTTTTTGTAAGTTCTGAATAGTTTCAACATAACACTGGAATAGCACCACATACATGTATATTCCCTAGCACTAACTTTTTAATAATTAAGCATGAAAAGAAACTATATACAACCCCAATTACTAAAATTAAATTCATATATCATCTTCCTTCCTGATACTTCATTTATATGTCCAACTGTGAAGAACATGGTCACTGCCAATCATATTGAAGCAAATATAATAAGCATGTATCAAATTTTGTAGTCTTACCATGATAAGGGCATTGGATTCTTCCTTCATTCACTGACCCGAGATGGAGTGTGCAGGCTCTATGAGCACATGTATTTTGCAAGCATCCAGGTTTCCCATCTTTCCCTCTAAATATAACTCATGGTTCTTCAAAACAATCTATCGGCATCTGAAAATAATACATAAACATAAATTAAATTTAAAAAATTAACCCTCATTTCTTATGGTAATTAACAGATAGAGAGAAGGATAGCTCACCATTGTATCCTCTTTTAGATCCCCAGAGAAATTAGGTCTCTTGGTTAACACCGGTTATATTTAAAGAAATATTCTTTTAAATCTAACTATTATTACTAGTTTTCTTGACTTTTAATTATAAAAAGTTAACCCGTTTGGACCTAGTTGATAAGTTCTGATATGATAAGTTCTGGTATGATAAGTTAACCCATTTCAAAATTAGTCCGATTGGCTATCTTCAATATTTCAAAATTACTCATTCAAATCATGGAAATTTCTATTACATCCCTCAAATCATCACAATATTTACTATTAGGTCCCCTGGTTAACACCGGTTATATTTAAAGAAATATTCTTTTAAATCTAACTATTTAAAGAAATATTCTTTTAAAGAAATATTCTTGGTCATTAAATCTTTGTTCAATTTGAGACATAAGCTTAAATGGAAAAGACAATTTAGAAGGGGAAATTAGTAAAATGATGCTTTGGGGGGGGGTATTTACAAATATATACAATGCTTGGGTATATATGTAAAAATTTCACAAAAAAAGAAAGTAGTGGTGATCCAAGAGTTCGAACATAGGACCTGTTATATCATATTCGCTCGAACTCAATTTTGACGGCTCTTTCTCCTCTTAACCTTATAAAAAACTCCAAGAGAACTCTATCCAAACTATTTTCATACGGTTTTTAGTGATTAAATATAATTTATCTCCTCTCGGATTCATTAATGATGTTTACAGGCTCAAGTCCATCCGTAGATGAAGCCCAGAGTAGTGGAGTTCATCGAATCTACTAGCATAAAGAATAAAAATAAATAAATTTTAAAACTAACATAGAATTCCTAATTAATAGTTAATATTTTAACATAAGAATCTGATAACATATGTATCTTTCCATCGCAAATGTTTGTATTGGGCGATGGATTTCAAATTCAAATTCAGGAAGCATATATCACTTCTCCCTAAAAGAAGGGACATGCCTCTAGCGACAAAGTTGCGGCTACAGCCTCCTCGACGACGACGCTAGAGGGGAGCAGGGGGCCCTTGAGAAGGCCACCAAACAACTATCCTGGATCATAGTAGACTTCCACGTCCTCAGCTCTCAAGCTATCATCTACCTGTGTGGAACAAAATAGTATTGGACTACATTTAAAATATTATAGATTTGAGGGACTAATATTAAAATAATTCTTAATTTTTTGTGGGGCCACTCATTAACAATAGGATAATCAATCACTAGTGTTAATTTTTTACGATGGCGACGGACATTGGCGACAGATTCATCGCCAATAAGTATTGGCAACGTATTCAAATCCGTCGCCAATAAGTATTGGCGACGACTCGAATCCGTCGCCAATACTTATTGGTGACGGATCGAATTCGTCGCCAATGTGTATTGGCGACGGATCGAATCTGTCGCCAATAAGTATTGGCGACGAAACATTGGCGACGGATCACATCTGTCGCCAATACTTATTGGCGACAGATTCGATCCGTCGCCAATACTAATTGGCGACGAATTCGATCCGTCGCCAATAAGTATTGGCGACGGAACATTGGTGACGGATCAATTACGTCGTCAATACGTATTGGCGACGCATCATTTCCGTCGCCAATACTTATTGGCGACGGATAGAATCTGTCGCTAATAAGTATTAGCGACGGAACATTGGCGACGGATAGACTCCGTCACCAATACTTATTGGTGACGGATCGAATCCGTCGCGAATACTTATTGGCGACGGATTGGATCCGTCACCAATGTTTTCCCGTCGCCAAAGGTTATGGGCGACGGAAAACATTGGCGACAGATTGAAATCCGTCGCCAATACAAACATTGGCGACGGGAACAACCCCGTCGCCAATGTTCCGTCGCCAATGTTTGTATTGGCGACAGATTTAAAATCCATCGCCAATACCCCGTCGTCAATACTCAGTTTTCTACTAGTGTCTCCAATTGAGAGGTAAGTACACTAATTTATGCGATTTGTCAAAATACTCTCTAATTGAGAGGATTTGACAAATTCTAAAAATTGGACACTTTCCACACTTTTGGGATTTAATATTCTAAAAAATTTCTTAAAACAAACACCATATATGGAATCCCAAAATACAAAAAAAAAAAAACTCAGTTTTTGATCCTAAAACTTGTAATCCATACCAAATATCAAAAATTTTTGTAAAACGAACAGCACCTCCATCAACTAATCCTTCCAATTCAAAACTCCCTGCATGCTGTTGACGCCCTGATAAGGCCCACACTCCAAATGGATCTGCTTTTTGACACGACTTACTCGCTGGTAGGTTTTTCTTACGGGCTGATGGAAACACAATAATTATTAAATTTGAAGGGCACGATGTAAGTAAGAGTACGGTGCAATATGGAGGGAGACAAGGCAAGCTCGTGCTTGCTTGGTTTTCATAATTATTTTCTGACTTCGAATGCAGCGCAACAAGCAGTACATCTTTTTGTGGCATTATGCATGGCAGCCGCAGCGCAGTACTGTCCTTGGACTCCTTTAAAACCCATTCACTTTCTTTTGGCAATTTTACAGTTGTCGTCATGCAAAGCCATCCGCGTTGTGGCCAAAATGTTGCACTTTTGATACGGAAGGGAGGCGAAAAATTAATGCTGGTAAAATGCCAACTTATTGGATTAATTTGGTTAGCTAAACACAAGGATGAATTTGTTTGGATAGAGGAAAGAAAAAATTATTGCGGTCACAGCGTGCAGATCTACTACGTACGCACTAACAACAAGCTGATCACCTGCGGTTATGAACTGTCTAATATCCGTCTACGGATGGGTAAAAATCTCTTGAGAAGAAACAAACAAAATGTTTCAAGATTTTAGCATTTGAGAATCTCGTTATGATTTTAAATCAAGCCCCTAAAATTAATCTTGCTGCTCCACAATCTCTACTGTGATGGTCAATCTTTAACTTGGCCTTTTTCGGGCACCGAAGCTATTGGAATGTTAAGATTCTCTAATTATGAAGTTGTCGTTCCTACATCTATGGCTTTGTCGTCCTTCTTTTTATTTTGTTTTCATTTTTTATTCCTTGGGGTCAACGAAAATAAACTTTATTCACTAACCAAGTGAGCTTTTAAGTACATCAGATGTACTCAGATCAATGATAATCCGAGGAGCCAAACTTGTAACCTTATAAGCCTACATCAATAAACTCAAAAGAAAAAGAAAGAAAAATGCAATCACAGCTCACTCACTCTCTTTTTGTTATATTCCTCCTGTTGCGCGCAGCGGAAATTTCGGCAGCACTTCGGCAACACAACAAGAGAGTCATGTCGCAATAAGAATTCTTGTTTCTCAAAGGGAACAAGAATCTAAAGCCTAATATCTCATCAAAGTGAGATATTAGCTCTTCCTCTCGTCAGCTCTAGGACTGCGCGTCGAGGGAACCTAAAAGCTATTACACATCACACAAATAGCAGTACAACCAATTTTACGTGGTTCGGCAAATTGCCTACGTCCACGGGGCAAGGAGGGGGGAGATCCACTAATAGAGGGAGAGAATACAACTAGGGTTTACAATCACTCACAAACTAAACCCTCAAACAAACTCTCAAATCCCTCATAATAACTCTCTACAAAAGGATGCACAAACCCTAACAAAAGCTGCTGCTTTATCTTTTGCACCCGCCACAAATTCCCCCTTACAGCCGCCAAACGAATCCGCGCTATGCTGCAGCCGCAATAAAAAAAACAAAATCTCATGCACTTGCACAAACTGTAGCCGCACACCTCCTTCGCCTAAAAACCTAGGGAAATTAAAATTGGTTGTTATTTATACAAGTGAAGTCGGGTGGGCCTTGGCATTCTCACGCGGAATTGTTTCACGCGTAATCACGTGGGTGTTGGCCCCACAATCACAATTCTCCACATCGGTAAAGTTTTTCCCAAAACTGAGCCGACACCAAAGCAACCAAATGTCTCACTTGTTGTGTCCAGTACGAACTCAATCCACAACAAGTCGAGAACCTGAACGAGAGTCCAAACAATCTCACCCCCATCAACTAACACAAACCGGCTGCATCTGAAAGACTGCCTACGTATCCTCTTGCCCAAGGAATCAAGCCGAACGTAGTTCACCTAAATGGCCACCTTGTTGCTAGGAACCACCTTAGTGAGCATATCCGCCGGATTATCCTTCGTGTGGACTTTAACAATCTCCACATCGCCATCTTCAAGAACATCCCGAACGAAGTGATAACGAACGTCAATGTGCTTCGTTCTCGCATGAAAAACCTGATTCTTCGCCAAATAGATAGCACTCATGCTATCACAATGAATAGCGACGGACCTATGCGATATACCAAGTTCCTCCAAAAGTCATCGAAGCCAAATGGCCTCCTTCACAGCCTCCGTAACTGCCATATACTCTGCCTCTGTCGTAGACAAAGCCACCGTAGACTGTAAGGTGCATCTCCAACACACCGGCGCACGGGTCAAAGTGAACACATACCCCGTCGTAGACCGGCGTTTATCCAAATCCCCGGCATAATCCGAATCAACATAGCCAATGCATAGCTGCCCACCTGTAGTGTCCCGCTCATAAACCAAACCAACATTGAGCGTACCTCGAATGTACCTCAAAATCCATTTCACGGCGTCCCAATGACCCACTCCTGGATCATGCATGTATCTCGAAACCATGCTTACCGCCTGTGACAAATCCAGCCTCGTACATATCATCGCGTACATCAAGCTCCCAACCGCGCTCGCATATGGAGTCTTCGACATCAACTCACGATCTTCAACTGACTTCGGTGAAAGACCAGCTGAAAGCTTCAAATGGGCTCCCAATGGTACACTAACTGGCTTCGTATCCATGCTAACATGGAATCGCTGTAGAACCTTCTTCAAATAAGCCACCTGTGTCAAACAAATTCTGCCCTTCTTCTTGTCTCT